GATATAGAGGGTATTAGCAGCATAACAGATTGCCTGAGTATATGTATGGTCAGAGAAATGAATACTATACAGCAATATGTAGTGAAATCGGGAAAAATACTGCCATACACTCCACGCATATACCCAAAAAAAGAATGGGGCTGGAGAGATGGCTCAGTAGTGAAGAGCATTGGCTGCTCTTCCAGAGGATCCAGTTTAGATACCTAGCCCCCAATTGGCAGTTCACAACTTGGTGTAACTCTAATACTAGGGAATCTGATGGCCTTTTCTTGCCCTTGCAGGTGCCAACCAAACATATGGGCACAGGCACACATGTAGTCCGACATCTACTTAATATACTGATTGGAAAACCACAATTTCTGAAGATTATTTACAGTATGATAAACTTTTATTATGTTGAAAACAATATCAGTTAGGGGTACCTACATAAATTGCTAATATTTTAGTATTTAGAAGATAAACATGGCCTAGCACAGTGGTGCATGCTTTTATCCCAGTACTTGAGGGAAGGGGAATCTCTGTGAGTTTCAGGCCAGCATGGTCTACATAGCAAGTTCCATGGCAGCCGAAGTTATATGTGAGACCCCCCCCCCCAAAGAAAGAGAGACATAAAATGTAGCATGTTGGTTACCTCTGTGGTGACGAGGAGAGTAGGTCAGGGAGGCGGACTGGCAGCTCAGGTGACAATGGTAAGATTTCCGCTCTTCACTGAGTCGCACTTTATTGAAACTTGTTGATTTTCCATCCTCCCAGATGCTTTCTAACTTAACATGGGCCAGCATAGTACACAGATTCTCTTGAATGCAGCAAATATTGCATAGTAAAAGATGTCCCATTAAACTTTAATGTCACTTCAGAACCCTGAAGACAGGCTTGGAGGAAGTCCCTTGATCTCGCTGTCCCTCTTTCCAGTGTGGCCATGTTAAACAGATTATTTTCTGCTTACCAACATATTCCAAGTAGACTTGTGGACTAGTGGCTAAATCTGGCTTAGGACACGGGTTGTGAAACCCCAAATTCATTGATAATATAGTAACCACAAAGGGACAAAAGACACATTTGGGGGATATCTGCCACCCCAGTAAGCTGACCTCAAAAGGAGAGGAAAGAAGAAAGATCCCAGCCATGACTGGAGTCATTTTACTCTGAGAATATTTTTCCATCTTTCCACTTCACCTGCCATCAGCTGCCCTTTGCTTCTACTTGCTCGAGCAGAAAAATGAGTATTTGGACATTGTTTTGGCTTCTCAAAGAAATTTGACCCTTGCAGCTATGAGGAAGTTGGGAGGAGAAGAGACAGACTGACAGAGAGAGAGAGACAGAGAGACAGAGAGAGAACTGAAACAATATTTTTGAGATGCTAGGATGTTACTGACAGGTAGTGCAGAACAGACTTCCGGATTCCTCCAAAGCTGTTCTGCCAGAAGAACAACATTCGTCCTTTAAGCTCAACACACTTCTTTCTGAAGTCTTCCTGACCAGGATGGCCTGACTTGTGCCCCTCTAAGACATGACACCTGTGACAACCTTGCCTCTGCTTTATCAATCATATCAAGATACCAGAACCCTCCAAACTGGTATAGAGACTACTTCAAGTGAAAAGATGAGCTGCAGGAGAAAGAATTGTACCTGAGCTTCCCTTGTCTGCTAAGAATGAAAAGCAGGATACTGCAAAACGCCCTGGCAAGGTAATCTTAAGGTTACACTCGAACAATCTGAAAAATGATTGGGTAAATAAGGTGCCAGACATCTTTGCCCTTCCTACAGTAACCATACAAACTTTACTGCCAACTCATCTGGGGACAACTGCTCATGCAATACAATGTTCTTCTATTAAAGTGTTCTGTTAAAATAAACAATCTGGATCAGTGGAATGGTTCAGTAGATAAAGGGGCTTGCTGCCAAACCTCATAACCTGAGTTCAGCCCCCAAAATCCACGACGTAGAAGGAGGAAACTGTTTCCAGAAGCTGTCCTCTCACTTCTGAACATATTCCATGGCATGCCCCACCACACACAGAAATAAAAAATAATACTAAAACTAATAGAAATGAATAGTCTAATCAGTATTCTACTTCTCAATGGACATTTTCTACATAATGTAATTAGATAAGTGCTATAAATTTTAATTGTAATTGATAGCTCAATATCTTAAGCCTCCATGTAACATATGCAGCTTGGTACTCAACTTGGAACTTTGGACCCTAAGAAAGCAACAACAATATTTTCAGCATAATTAATATTTACATACTAAGGAGTGACACTCAAAATATTTAACAACTTCTTTGGTTATATTAATTAATGTAGAATCAAAATTTAACACCATCTGCTTGGTTTCCATCTGTAGGACTCTCAAGACAGTCCTACAGATTACCATTCCCAACAGTAGACGCAGGAGGGCAACTCTAGAAGCAAGCTCAATCCTCCAATGGCATGTGAGGCCACAGAGTCCTATAAGGTACAGATCTAACTTGGATGAGCTACGACATATGGGGCTGACTGGACATGGGACAGGCCTGATACCTCATTGAGAAGAGATCTTTCACTTGAGGAAATTTCTAGGGGAAAAAAAGGCCAATGTCTTGAGAGAAGTATATGTGTCCCCTGTGTTCTAGAAGCAGAAAGGAAGCCAGTGTGGCTACACATGAAAAGAGATGGGAGTGGAGTTGGTAAAGGTGGAGGAACGACAAACACTGGGCTGGCAATGGAGCTCAACAGGCATTATGCTTGCCTAGCATGCACTAGGCCCTGGGTTCGAGCACTAGCACCTCACATGCCTCCCGTGGTGACACACATGCAACAGCAGCACTCGGGAGGTGGGGGCAGAAGCATCAGAAGATCAAGGTCAATCCTTACCTACACAGGTTGTTTGAGGCTAGCCTGGGACACATGAGACCCTATTAGGCAGGGGGGAAAGGCATGTTTCTAGGTCATTGCAAGTAATCACTTTTAAGCTAAGTAAGATAAGATGTGGATAAAAGGATTTGTAGACAGGGTGACATGATCTAACCAACCATAAAGAGAACAGCTTGGAGGAGCGGAGGACAGAAACAAGAAGGCCAAGGGAGGCTCTTCTTAACATCCAGCAAGAAAACAGGGAATCTCAGAAATGCCACATCCTGCGTTCACCAATGTAGAAATGCTATTGGAAGTACATATATCATCACTAGAAGAGCGAACAAAGGTGGAGAATAGGGCAAATAGAATAGGAACCAGGACTGAGCACTACGACATCATGGTGGAGAGGTGAAGGACATAAGGGAAAGCAAAAGGAGTTTGACTTGGAGCAGTCAATTCTCCCCACAAGAGCTCACACCACCAACCTGAATTTGATGTCTTCCCTCTTCCTAAATAACTTTTACTACAAATGGATATGACTGTAAATGACATATAGGATTATTCTGCATTTATTAACGAGGTCTCGTACTCCGTATATTTTCTCCAGTTACTGATTTGCTATACAACCTAATTAGTGAAACTCATCTGTTAGTAGGCGTCACAGCAGGCCATCTAACTTTCACTTTTGCATGCTCTTCCCTTACATGAATGTGCCACATTAGTTCGTTTCCATGTACAAGGACACAGAAGCAATTTCCCTCTCCTGCTGCCATCTGTGACCCTGCCACGAATATTCTCACATGGGCTTCCTTTTCCCTTCCTTTGGGTTCTGTTGGGAAGGTTTCTCAAACTTTAGCATTCAGTAGAAACAGTTGGAAATTTTATTAAAACCAGTTTCTAAACCCAGCATTCAAAGATTTTGTATAAGCTAGAGCCTGAGAAGTTGCATTTCTGACAAGCTCCCCCAGGGTGCTTTTGTTCATGGTCCAAAAATGACACTAAGAATCAATATCCTGGAATAGACCAGGCATGAAGAAGGAAGTCACAGATGTGCAGGTACCTCTCTGGCTTTTCTACACGTTGTCAACTTGCCTTGCAATGTGGGTGGCCTAATTTATGTTTAAATCAGTGGCAGGATCTTTAAGACCAATTCTGGATGCTGTCAGATTTTTAATTTTTGCCATACTAGACTTCAATAATTTAAAAAAATGAATCACAGAATTGGTTCTGGCTTTAGTTCTGATGTTGTGATAAAACATTATTATCAAAAGCAACATTGGGGAGGATGTTTGGTTTACAATTCCAGACCATGATCCATCATTGAGGGAAAGCAAGACAGGAACTTGAAGGTAGGTCTGATTGTCATTCCACACAGGATTACCTCTGACAAAGGAACTCACTTCACAGCTAATGAAGTACAACAGATACCACGGAAGGTGCTGCTTGCTAGCTGACTTCAAAGAAGGCTTACTAGCAAGCTTGAAGACTGCTAACTTTCAAATGGTGCTCAGGACCTCCTGACTAGGAATGGTGCTTCTCAAACTGGGCTGCCCCCCCCCACACACACACACGTGCGTGAGTGTGTGTGTGTGCATGTGTATGTGTGTCTGTGTAAATAATCAAGACAATCACCCGCAGGCCAATCTGATCTAAGAGATTTCTTAATGGAGACTATCATCTTAGATGATGTAAGCTTTTTCAAGTTGACACTTAAAACTAACTAGAACAGCATATATAATTACACATACCCAACACACAGAAATAGACATTACATCCTAAAGCTAATCAGAATACATTCAAGCTTCTTTATTCCATAGAAATTGCTCCCAGTTAACTGCCATTTTCCCTATCAAGCAAAGATGGTGTGGACAAGACCATCAAAATAATTATGAAAGGAAAAAGAATGTGTGCTCTTTTTAATGAAGAACTTCACTGTGGTTCTGTTTGTTATAGTTTGAAAAGCCAATGATGATATGAATTTTTTATGGACTACTAAGGAGAAAGGAAGTGAATGACCTATACAATGAAAACACTGAAGAAACTGAAGAAAACACTAGGAGATGGAAAAATATTCAAATATTGGAAAAATTAATATTGTGAAGATAGCCAACCTACCAAAAGCAAACCACACGATAAAAGCCACCGCCATCATCTAGTACTCACGTATCTGGTTAGTGGATGCACTGTAAAAGGCATTGACTGTTGTCGGATTTGTAAACCACCTGCAGAAAGAAAGACAAATGCCACAGGTAGCCATCAGTATCCAAATAGAAAACCAGTAAATGTAAAACAACACAATATTGCTGCAAGGGAAAATTATTGTCTTATTTATGGCTCCTACTCCATTGAATGAACAATTTTATCAGAAAGTAAGCACAGTTTGGCATGAATATGTTAGCAGGGCTGGAGAAATGGCTCAGTTTAAACACACTGGCTGCTCTTCCAGAGGGCCCAGGTTCAATTCCCCGTACCCACATGGAAGTTAACAACTGTCTGTAACTGCAGTTCCAGGGAATCTACGGTGCACAGACATTCATCCAGGCAAAACACACACACACATACACACACATATATTATCTCTTTTAAAAAAGAATACTAGCAAGCCTGGATTTTCACTGACAAAAAAAATGATTAATTAATTGATTGATTAATTAACTAATTTTATTTTTTTAATTAACTAATTTTAAAAATGCAACATGAGTGCATCTGAAAATCCTTTAACAAGAAGTTTACAATCAGAGGTGCTCCCTCGAAAAATCAAAACACACAGTAGCAAGCTGATGCTTGTCAGGTTCTGTTCAGATGATCCAGGCAACAACCACCTTTCTGGCCTGTATCACCCCTGACCTGCTATGAAACTGTTGCTGCCACAGGGTCCGCCTGCTCCCGTGAAAAGTTTAGTGATTTAAGTTGCAAGTGCCTGAACTATCTCTATAACCAGCTGAGTTTTGAGGAATCCATCACCAATCTTTCCGGGGTTTGCTTTCAGCTGTAACGTGAAGGTGTTGGGCTGGTAGGATGGTGCTTGCCCTGAGATCCCGAAGAACTGAGTCTCTAGTTACCTAGAGCAGAATATAGCACTTTCTTCAGTAAAAAATCAGAGTGTAAATGCTTCAGGCTTTACAGATGAAGAAGCAAAACTAAAGATAGTATACAGATAGGAAATACTAAACTTTCTACAATGATTAATAAAATTAAAATATAATAATAACTATCATCTTTATTCATCAAAATGACAAAATTCTTTTTTTTTTAATTTATTTATTTATTAAGGATTTCTGCCTCGTCCCCACAACCGCTTCCCATTTCCCTCCCCCTCCCCCGATCAAGTCCCCCCCCCATCTGCTCGAAGAGCAATCAGGGTTCCCTGACCTGTGGGAAGCCCAAGGACTGCCCACCTCTATCCAGGTCTCGTAAGGTGAGCATTCAAACTGCCTAGGCTCCCACAAAGCCAGTACGTGCCGTAGGATCAAAAACCCACTGCAATTGTTCTTGAATTCTCAGTATTCCTCATTGTCCGCTATGTTCAGCTAGTCCGGATTTATCCCATGCTTTTTCAGACCTAGGCCAGCTGGCCTTGGTGAGATCCCAATAGAACATCCCCATTGTCTTAGTGTGTGGGTGCACCCCTCGTGGTCCTGAGTTCCTTGCTCGTGCTCCGTCTCCTTCTGCTCCTGATTTGGACCTTGAGATTTCTGTCCGGTGCTCCCGTGTGGGTCTCTGTCTCTGTCTCCTTTCATCGCCTGATGAAGGTTAATATTCCTGAGGATGCCTATGTGTTTGTCTTTGGATTCACCTTATTTAGCTTCTCTAGGAACATGAATTATAGGCTCAATGTCCTTTATTTATGGCTAGAAACCAAATATGAGTGAGTACATCCCATGTTCCTCTTTTTGGGTCTGGCTTACCTCACTCAGGATAGTGTTTTCTATTTCCATCCATTTGTATGCAAAATTCAAGAAGTCCTTGTTTTTTACTGCTGAGTAATACTCTAATATGTATATATTCCATACTTTCTTCATCCATTCTTCCGTTGAAGGGCATCTAGGTTGTTTCCAGGTTCTGGCTATTACAAACAATGCTGCCATGAACATAGTTGAGCATATACTTTTGTTGTATGATAGGGCCTCTCTTGGGTATATTCCCAAGAGTGGTATTGAAAGGTTTGATCTCCAAAATATATAAAGAACTCAAGAAACTAGACCGTAAAAGGCTAATCAACCCAATTATAAAATGGGGCACTGATCTGAACAGAGAATTCTCAACAGAAGAACTTCAAATGGCCAAAAGACACTTAAGGTCATGCTCAACTTCCTTAGCGATCAGGGAAATGCAAATCAAGACAACTTTAAGATACCACCTTACACCTGTCAGAATGGCTAAAATAAAAAACACCAATGATAGCCTTTGCTGGAGAGGTTGTGGAGAAAAGGGTACACTCACCCATTGCTGGTGGGAATGCAAACTTGTGCAACCACTCTGGAAAGCAGTGTTTCGGTTTCTCAGGAAATTCGGGATCAACCTACCCCTGGATCCGACAAAATTCTTTTGAGGGGGAATATTTCAACTAACTGGTTAAACTTATGGCTTATCAACATCAGACAAATTACAACTTTTTATCTGTAAATACCATTCTTGGTTCATGGGCTAAGTGACACAGCCAGGTGGTATCTAGCTCAGTCACTGCCTTTTATAATTAAACACGGGCAATGCCTTTTAAGCTGAATTGCTTAAAAATAAACTTGGACAGGACTGAGTGTCTAGCTTAGTGATATAAGGCATGCTTAGCATTCATGAGCTCTGGGTTCCAACCCCAGCATGAAAAAAGAAACATAAATCCCTTTTCAAACAAAGGTTTTATTCTTCTATGCCTAATAGAAAACCATCAGAGCAATAAATTAATGTATAACAGTCTTAAAAAACCTTGTAGGTACTCAACTCTTGATTCTTATTGGTCCTCTCTTATCTTCTTCCTTGCGGAAAAGCCTATGACTATGTCATCCAATCCTCGTGATTATTAGCTAGCAGACACTAAGCATTTTGCTAGGTTCTAACTTTATCATTATAGCCCGTCTGCATATAAGGACAATGAAATTGAGAAGCATTGCACACTTGTGCAAAGACTGGTCTTTCAGATTTGAACGTAATTCTATTAGGCCTTGCATTATTCTAGAGACAGTAACAGAAATCAAGAGAGTATCTTGTCTTTTGTCCAATCAACGTAAGATAAGTGGTTCAATTAGACCCTGGTGCTTATCAAAAAAAAAAAAAAAAAGGTTACTGACTGGTCTATTTTCTTGAGGAAACAAATACGGGAAAAAGTATCTTTGTTGACCCCAAGTTTCTGTCTGTAGTGAGTAGAATTATGGCCACATCCTAATCCCTGGGATCCTGCCATTGCACAACAAAAAGAACTTTGCAGATGTAATTAAGGTTAAGGATCTAAAAATAAGGATTATTTTACCTGGATTATCCAGGTAGGTTTATCTAATTCCATCAGCCCTCAAGAGCAGGCAACCTTTTCCAGCTAGAATCAAATAGATTCAACAGAGGATTGGAGGTCGGAAAAGATACTTGCACACAGGAAGTCAGGCAGATGGGAAGGGTGAGAAGAATTTCACACACTGCTACTGGCTCTTAGAAGAAGAGGCCATATTCTAAGAATTCAGACCTTCAGGCCTGCAACCACAGGAAGTGGATTCAGCCATAATATATACATGTGATAATTGCAATAATATATGTTCCTACAGACTCCCCCTTCTCTTCCCCTCATTTCTCACTCTGCTTGTTCATATAAAAGTAAATATTCAAATTATTAGGGTGAGAACCATACATTGACCTGTTCCTAAAAGCTGATAGGCAAATTCACACACACACACACACACACACACACACACACACACACAAAGAAACAAACAACCACTGTCTGGGGCCATTTCAGAGAGACTTCTAAAGCTTCAGCAAGAATTGATAAAACATCCTACCTCACACATATGACCTCATTCCTGACCCCTATCCAACCCTCTGAGTTGTTATTGATTCTTTGGACCATTTGGAGCCTTAATTGTCCCTGGAGCTGATATTAAGTATCTGCACCAGCAGGTCTTATCAGTTGTTGATGCTTTTATTTCTTCTGCGTATTCAGGGACCGTGCCAATCCAGCTGTGAAACATTTTGTACATCTCCTTTATTATATCCAAGTTTGTTATATATTTAGTTTTACTGTTCTCCGATGCAAACTTTCAATATCTGTTTACAAAATAGTTTATTCACCCACTAAGATATGGAATCCAAATTCCTTTCCTCTTTATTATAGATTAGTCTTGCTGACTCTCTGCTAAAGAATGAGATGTGATGAAGCTTGAAAGAAGCGGGTAGAGTGCTGGCCTAGCATTCAGGAAGCGCTCAGTCCCATTCCCAGCACTGCACAGACTGGCTGTGATGGCATGCACTTATAACCTAAGCACTCAGAAGGTGAATAATCCTCAGCTACATATAAAGTTTGATGTCAGTCTATGACATGAGACCCTATCTCTGATAGATAAATAAATAAACTAATAGAGTAATATTTTATATAAAAAACGAAATTAAATGGTACTTGGTGACTTCCAAGGGCAATACACTGATGCACACAAGAACAGCCTCTTCTTATTTCTCTCCCATCTCTCAAGAAACTGGCTATTCAACTTTGTTCATCAACTAACATTCTGTTAAGACGTTTTACACACAAAGGGGCCATTCATAGGTGTTCTAGCCAATGAGCATCAATGAGTAGGAATGTAAGAAAGGGAACCCAGTAACTATCTTACTATGACTACATTAAAGACTATGAGCAATAGCCACAGAGCTAAGCCTAATGACCACACCTAGAATCAGAATATGCAAAAGTCAAATGATTAGTGTTCCTATGAGCACCTAACTGGGGCATGGGGGGGGGGCAGTTATACAACCACAAATAAGTAGAATGTGGAAAAGTTGACTCTCCACAGATTAAGCCCTACCTAACAGGCTGAAGTTTTCCCAGTTTTATTTGCCAATATGATGGATCTTAAAAATTATTAAGTTAGAATTCCTTAAAGCCAAGCATATAAACACTAATTCTTTTAATTGCTCACACTTGTCAAAGTTGGCTATCTCTTAACCAGCATGGCCCTGAAGGCCTTCCAGTTTGTAGGGCTGATCTCCTAGGATGATTTATGAGCTAAAACCACCGTCCAAATGT